TTTATTTTCAAATGGGATATTTAACACTGAATTCTAAATCCAGAACCTGGATTCACCTTCATCCTCAACTGGGACAAGACTCAGATTTTAACCGAAACCACATGGCAATTATTTACTTCACCCAGAAAGGCACAAAAATGTTTTATAAAGTTTTTAGCTATGTAAAGAAGTACTTCCTAAGAAAGGCAGACATTTTACTAACTATCAAACACCTAAATCTTGTCAAGGGATATGGGAGTTGCAAGACTTTATGAAGCTTACTTATCTGTAGGAAGTCACCTTGCTGCTTGATCTCATTGAAAAACTGTAGTCAATCCCAAAGTATCTTAGATGAAGATTCAGACAAGATTTGCAACAAGATCAGAATGACTAAAATACTGCAAATTTACCCCAAAGCATTGGTCTTAATGCCTTTGGGTATTCCTAACATAGAAACAACTATCTTATTTCAGGAGTGTAGTTAATTTCTGGGAATGTATTTCTTCACCGCCAAAAAGTAAATAATTTTTTTTCTTCCAAATTGGATATTGCTTTTTCTGTTTAGTAGTCTTAAACACTTTCAGACACCCAATAGAGCTTTGACTGCGCTATACAGGAATATTATCATCAGACACAATATTATGGCAACAAAGGAAGCACAAGACCAAAATTTATTTGAAGACTAATATGCTAGGAACATGATAATATGACTGATTGCTTCTTCATAGGTTTTGCTGTAATACTATCATAATTCTGAAATACAATTTTCCTTAACAAATTATTTCTAATAATAATTACAATTATATGAATCAGATTTTCCCTAAATGTTTCATCCATATTTACATTGTACTCAAAATTAAACTTTCAAAATGCAAATAGTGCATATCCCAAAATAACTCATTAAGTAAACTATAATGTAAAAAACAACATACCATATGCTGCAATATTTACACATGCCTATGTCAGTCTCAGACAGTAACATTGTGAAAACATTCTGCTTAATATTCGCCTTAGAATACTCCACTGAGTTTATCACTGAGAGTTTCTGAACACAAAGAATAGAGCATCTTTCCTGCAATTTATAATAAATTTACTTTTCTGTGCTATCCAGGCATATAACATCTCAGAATCTTTAAGAGCTACCTTATATAGTGCCATCACATGAGATACAAAACCAGATTTTTTTTGTACTCATCATACTAGATATTCTTGAACAGGAGTTGCCAGATTTTACACTGCTCTTTAATGAGTAATTATTTAGGAGAAGTAGGGTGAGCCTGTGGTTAAAGAATGGTGTTTGGATAAGGCATTCTGTCTTTAATTACTGTCTTTGTCATAAACTTTACCTCTAACTCTGAGCAAGCCCTTCTGCCTCAGTTTTCCACATCACAGTAAATGGTAATAGTATTTCAGTCACTCACAGGCTTGCTTTGAGAATTAATGAGGGTCCCATGTGCAAAAGACCTGTAGATCTTGACTTCTTCTCACTGTGCACTGATAGGAAAGTGACATGTTCTTAATTTGAAACAGAGACTCAGTGCTGCCCTTCATCAGCACATGGAATTCTCATTTATGTCAACATGAATTGCATTAAACACATTGAGTACATTATTTAGCCTAAAAATAAAGGAAAATAAAGGAATGGAAAGAAACTCCTGGATTCTCCTTGTCTGCTCTTAAAAAGTCTAACAGTTCATGGCAGCAGACATACAACCATAAATAAAAAGATTTTTGATGAGAGGCATGACTTGCTCCCTGGGAATATAAATGAGAATGGAGAAATGTGTAGCAGGTCCATCTGTAGACTGCATTTAGCTATGTTGCAAGAGCACCATCATAAAAACCATGCAAAATTCATTCACCGTAATATATAATGCTCTGCACACGTGTCCCAACATAAACCTTGATGGCCTTGGCATTTCAATTTTTCACACAATCTCCAGTGCATGCCAAAAAAACATTTACTTTTTTTTTTAATGTGAGTACCCAGATTAGATAAAAATGACAGAAATTTAAAATAAAAATCTTTAAATGCCCAAATGTAACACAAGGTAATACTACAGACCACTTTTGCACATGTATCTACTGTGTAAGAGTGGAATCAACTAAAGAAGATAGATATTTTTCACTAGAAAGAGAGTTAATGTGAGTACACAATTTTAATCTCCTCCTTTGATCTGAAGTAAAAACTGTCCCAGTGCAAAAAGACATTTCTGTTTTTCTGAAAAAACAAACCAAACCAAACCAAACCAAACCAAAACCAAAAGAAAAAAAACAAAACCAAGGTGTTTCTGGTGGGCCATTACCAGTCTTGGGGAGGCAAACATCTCTGTGAGAAGCAGGCATGTTTTAAGATTTGCCATTACTTGGCCATGTAAAGACAATGAGACTTGACAGTTCTTTAGGAAGGCAGGCAGGAGCTAGAGCTTTGCATAATTACTCAATAACTAATCAATCCAAGGATAACAGCCTAGTAAATTTGGAAAAGGTAAGTGTAACTGCCTATGTGTATGAACTAGTCTTTTATACAGTTAACATTTCCTGAATGCAGCCTTGGTCATTTAAAAGTCTGCCTGTCCCAGTGGTGTTTTTTTACTTCAGGGCATATGCTACTGAACAGCACAGAATTCTTGACCATAGAAAGACATCCCTCTCCTGAAGGACATGAGGATTTAAAAAACAAAAGTGAGGACCAGATCACAATCCTCCTGAGAAGTAGCTTCCTGGAGGTATGTATCTTTTCAACAGCTGAAGATCACAGCAGTGGTATTTTGACATTATCATGCATATTTATGTCCTCTTTTTCTTCATAAAACATTTAAACAGTGGGTTCTCTAATGTTTTTCTTTCCAGTTTTAGCATTTCTCCAAGCAACCAAGAATTTAGGGCATCTAATTCTTGACACAGGATATGTACAACTTAAGTGCACCTTTATATCTTCATTACCTTTCTGCGTATGACTTTCTAAGGCACCAGAACACACTGTGTCTTGTGTACACCCCAAATCCTGACCTGCTGCTTTTGAAAGCACTGGCGGACTTCATATGTGTCTTAGAAATTTTATCTTCATTACATTTTGCTCTACTGTAACTAGTCATTCATTAATGCTGACTCCTGCCTCTTAACATTACTAATAGCCTTAATTTTGAAATCTTTATAGTAAAATAAGCCAAAATTGTTCTACCAAGGTAAATTTCAGGACGGTATTTACATGCATAATAATTAGAAAAGCATCTTAGCTGCACATCCTCTTTCTAAACCAATGCTATTTTCACTAAACTAAGCTTTCTAACACTTATTTTTTCGGTTGCACTTAATTTCTACCTTCTCATTATGTTTGTACTTGTCTTAGAAGGGGTGTTTCTAGTTTAGTTTCATCTACTTTCTCAGATGCAGCATATGTTTTAGGTCCTTTGGAGTATGGCATTAACAGAGAAGTCAGTTCGAAATTATCAGTTCAGTACCCCTGACACACAATAACGTGAAAGCATCTTTACAGTAACCATAGTAGCAAGCATGGGAACAGCACGTCAAAATACAGGGGTGGACAAACACATTCAGAAACAGACATGGTGTATGGTGGACACAGAGGATTAGCATTAGATCAACAAGCTATAGGACATGCAACCCCAATGAAGTGCATGAAACTAGTAAGGAGGGCACTAGAGTAACACTTTTAGCGCACCAGCACTTTTGACACACAAACCCAACTGAGTCTAAAGGAGGACCCTTCTGCCAAAAAGAAGAAAACAAACAAAAAGTTTCCCCGGAGTGTGGGGCAGTGTTCTTATTAATCCAAAACTCCTCCATTCTCACTGTCCCTGTCCCTACACGCTGTAATTCGGCACTCCCGAGATGCAGAGGAGTTTCTCCCAAGCACCGCAGCCGCACCAGCGGGGATGCCCCCCCGCACAGTGCGGCGGGTACTTGGAAGCTGAGGGAGAGCTCTGGCGGGGTCGGGAGCTGCGGCCCGGCTACGGACACAGGCACCTGCCCGCACCGGCCCCCGAGCGCTGCCCGCCTCCCGGGAGCCCGCTTTATTTATCACCTTTCCTCAACCCAAGGGGAGATCTGTTAAAGATTAAATCAGCAGCAACCGCAGTTCAAAGCCCTGTCCCGCAAGCAAAGGTGAAGATAACGTCCCTGCAGATCGAATCGAGTTTCTGCTGTTGCAATCGCTTTTAATTACCCTCTAAACGGCACATCATACAGCGATCCTCCAGGCACCAGACCCGGCACGGAGATAGCGAGATACCTACAAACACTCCCGCTGATTAAAAACCGATCAGAAACTTATTTGAAGTCGGGTGTTTTCGGGCAGCGGCTCGGCAGTCCATCGACCCCTCGCGCCTCTTGTCACGGTGGGGCCGGTCCGGGCCCTCCCGCGAGGTCTCCCCGCCGCTGCCGGTGCCCCCGCCCCGGCCCGCCGGCGCTGGCTGCCCACACTTACAGGTAGGAGGTGAAGACGCTGAGGTTGGCGGGCACGGCCGTGAGCCCCAGATCGGAGCAGTCGGCGCGGACGAGCATGCCCTCCTGCTCGCAGCGGCACGGCGCCGGGCAGCCCCGAGGGCGCTGCCCGCTGCCCCGCGCTCCCCGCCGCAGCCCCGGCAGGCAGAAGAGGAGCAGCAGGAGGAAGAGGGCAGCGCGGAACGTCGCCATGGGGCCCGGGGGTACCTAGAGCTGCGGGTCGGTAGCTCTCATGCCCCGCGATGCGGCGGGGGCGAAACGCGGGCGCCCGCGTATGCTCGGGGAGTTGCTGCTGCGGCCGCTGCCGCGCCGCTGTCTGTAGTAGCATCTCAGCTTACACGCTGCTTTAAAGCCCTCGAGCCGGCACTGCGCGCCCGCTGACGCCGCCCCAGCCTTGCCCGCCGTAGCGCGGAGAGCCCTGCCCGCGCCGCCGTACGAGCGGGCGGGTGGGGGCGGCCGCGGGCCCGGCGGGAGGGAGGCGGGAGGGGGGTGTGTGTGAGGGGGAGAGCCCTCAGCCCGCCCTCGCTCGCTCGCTCCCTCGCTGTCTCACGCCGGCCCGCGGCGGCAGCGCCTCGGGTCTCGCCTCAGGAGGGGGATCGCCCCTCAGGGCAGGGGTGATCGCGGTGGACGTTTCTGGAAGGCGGCAGGACGGGCGGTTGGGCAGCGCGTGTCCCCTCACCCTATCGCATTTGAAATCAAAGAGGCAATGGGGCCGAGGCAGTGGGGTTAGTGAGCGGTCTCTGGGGTGGGACCGCAAAGGCTCGGGTGCTGTTCTGGGCTGGAAGGGAGGCCTAACCCAGGGCAGGAAACCCGCTCATTGGTGAGCAGTCCCAGCTGCGGACTGCGCGATGGTTCCATGCAGAGATGCGGACCCACTCGCTTTCCTCGCACCGCTCGGTTACCTCGCAGGCTTGCCAAGAGGCTGCAGTTTTCCAAAGAAGACTGGCTGCCAAGGGAAACTGACTTTGCTGCGAGGCTGACTTTGAGAGGTCTTGAGCTGTCCCTCACCCGGCATCTTGCCAGAGGTTTCCACTCTGCAGGGTGTGCGGAAAGTGGCCCTCATGCTACTCTTCTGTGATCGAGTATGAGAAAGCCATTGGTGAGGGAAAGGTGAGGATGGCAGTTTTTCAAACCTTTTTTCCCCTCCAAATCAGTTCTCAGTGCAAAGCTGACCGCAAGCTCCAGACTTGAGCCTGTTTAATAACCCAGTCCCAGCCCAATTCTTGTTTAGACTGGTGACAGCACTGTTGGTCAGGCGACTCGGTGTGCGTTGGAGAGCATTAGTTAAAGGTTTCTGCTACACCGTTCTTGAATCTACAATTAAGTCTGCAATGAGAGCTTAATGAAAAGGCCAGCAGAATACATGCTTTTGTATTCCACCCACTTCATAACCCCTGTTCCCACCCCTGGACCATCATTTGATCTAATCTGAGCTGCAGAAGGATCTTGTACGGAAGCCCAAGTGCTTTATTTAAAATAATAAATCTGCTGTCTGAATGTTTTGTAAATCTAGGCCTATGGGGCTTCTGGGAAGCTTTTCCCCAAGCATCACCTTATCCTAAGATGATAAAAACAGTGGGTGAAAGCATAGAGTGTCCGAAATAAACACCTAAGGAGAAAAATTATGCAGGAAGCAGTTTTCATTATGTACCATGGCGTCTGTCCAGGAGACGTGTTCCACTAAAACCTTTTGATTGTTTCTTACACAACTTACATCACTGTGAAGTAGCAATACTTCCATCACTGAATTTCATGGGTTCAAGAAGTTATGGCCTGTGTTGAATAGACACATACTAATGGTTCGATAAATTGTAAATACCCCTACTTTCTTCTGGGGTGAAACGGTTTGTTAGGCCTCTGTACTGCTTGTTATTAGAGTCCTTAACCTGTGCTGCCAAAAGACATCGGAAAAGCTGTAGTTAACAAATAAGTAAATAATAAAATTGTATTTATATAGCCGGAGTCTATTGCATGCACGTTTTGTTTGTTCTAGGAAGGAAAGTGTATACTGTTTGTTCATTTTATATTGAGGATTTATCAGCTTGCACAAGATATCTGAAGTTAGACATAGATTAATTAGTAGTGAGGTTTTAGCTGTAAAAATATTCCTTTGAATGTTGTGTCCTTTGCATGAATACATTTGTTCAGCTGGTGACTTTCTTTGAAATATTTAATGTACTTCTATCTAGTTTTACTTAAAGGTTTTTTGAAAGAATAGTAGCTTGAAGATTAGAAGGATTTGGTAGGAATGGATATGGATAATTCCTACCTTTGTACATTTAAATTAGGCTGTACAGTTATTTCCTTTTCATGTTTCTCATAGGTCTCTGGATCTCCATAAAGAGAAAAGGAAAAACATCTGTCAGTTTGGTAATGTCTCTTGGAGGTGCTGTTACTGTTCCAAAAGGCCATTGGGACTGTAAAGTTTCCTGTAGGTTCTGACATCTCAGCATTATGTCCTGATCGCTTGGACTGACACCTATGGTACAGCCACCAGTGATCTTTAGCTTTCACCAAGGTAGTAAACAAATCCTTTCAGGATCTCAGCAGAGTGCTCTCTTGAATATCTTCCTGTCTTCCTGATACTCAGGTGAAAATACCTGTCTTCTGAATATGATGTATAATGTGACAACCCTCCAATTTATCAGTATAAAAGATATCTTTATGGAATGTTAACCTACGAATAAACAAAATGATGTGTTGCATTATATATTGTTAGCACACAAAAAGCATACCAATTCATATGTCAGGAATATATATACACTGATATATATCTAACATGCATCTTTTATATTGTTACTTACAGCATGACAGATTTTAGACCTTATATGAAATCTGATTTTAAAATACAGGACTATAAAAAGAAAATTGGGTATCCAAAATACGTACTTTATTTCTGTTTTGTAAGCTTAAACTGAATGAACTGATTTTAAAAAGAGCATGGCTAAAGCATTTAACAATGGAAACTTGTGTTTCATCCTGAAATGATTGGTTGTCCCAGCCAAAATAGAGCTTAAAGCAGAAATATGAAGAGGTCCTGCACTAGCAAAGGTAGCAACTAGTACTTAAATATTCAGGCAAGTCCTATATAGTGCCAAAGTAAAAAACACAGCAGCAAAAGACAAGGTAGTTCACAGTTGAATATAGCTTGTTTTTCCCTTTCCTGTCTGTGAATGAAGAGTATATTCCTAGAAAGCAGTAGAACCATGTTGTTCGGCTGTGGGGAAAATAAGGCTCTCGTGCAGAGTGGGATTTCTTTTTCTTCCCATTGGGAGAAAAAATTCTTTATTGGATGTGTTGAAGTCATTATGTTGAAAGGGTTAATTAGGCAAGTGTTAAACTCCACTAGCCCTTAGGCTGTGCTGCTGTAGAGCAGTACTGCAAGTGCCCAGTGACCTGTGCAGAAGGACCCTTTCCTCTTTGCAGGACACCTGATTTGTCCCTTTGTTCTGACTAGTCCTGGAGAATGGTTTATGTCTTTTAAGATTTATCTTTATAGGGCTTTTATACATAAAGCAGAAGGTTATTTATATACTGTGTTTGTTTGTTTTCATATTTACCTACCAGTATAGGTTCACACTCATTTGCATCATGTATCTATCATGTTTTACTGAGAATCTTTAGCTAACACATGTATTTACATCACTTTATTAAGTCACACAGTGTTCTTCAAACCAAGGCAGATAGCACCATGTCAGTTTTATGTAGTGGTAAATGCTGATACCTGAAATGCGGGATGGTTAGGGCAGAGTCACGCCTAGAACCAGACACAGATACAGGAGTTTTAATTACCCTGGCTTAATTTACCACACTGCTACAACTTGTCAGTCACAACACTGACATCAACTTGGTTTTGTTGAGGCTTTCATGCTGTTTAAGGCATGCTATGTCATTCATCTTAAAAAATCATCTTTTATGTAGATTCTTTTGTTTGGCGCACTGCCACCTAGCTGCACTCTTCCCTCAGCAGTTCCGGAGTTGGTGGGTGGTGGTAGGACCAAGATAAAACATTTGATGTTTAAGGTTTACTTGGGCTCACTCTTCAGTAGTTTGAAGTCTGCTGATGGGAAGAACGAAAAAAAGCAGAAAGATAGTATTATTATTGCTGTTACAATGCATACAGTGAGTTGACTTATCTGTATAATTTTGAATCAAATACTGACATGAAGATTATTTTCAGGCTGAAAATATCTGATTGTAAAGCTTACAAAAACAGTGGAAAAGTCAGGATTACTCAGGCACATTGTAATAGTAAGGCATTTGGGAAAAGAAATCAGGAAAAAATGTAAATTCATAGGATGCAGATTTACTGAATGTTTGTTTGGAGGGAATGAAAGTTGATCATTACAGTAATTCTCTGTTTAGGAAATAAAATCCATGTGTTAGAGTGAAGATGTGGAAATAAGCTACATGAAGAGACCCTTCTATTATTTTGTGTTTACGTGGATGTGACATCATTTAGGGAATTACAGCCAGGCTGCAAAACATTTAGTGGGTATTTTACCAACTCAAGGACTATGTGATTTAAGCAATATTTTAAATTATGCTTTTTAAATCTTAAAATTTAGTGATGTGTTATCCTTGTATGTCTCATGTAAAGACAAGAGAAGAAAGAGGACATGTAAGCTATGTCTAACAGTACATGAAGGATGAGAAGTAATAGCTTTTATCAAAACAACTAATACTTGAAAACAGACAAGAGCTCTCTTTTTGGCTCATCTGTCTTTTTTTTTTTTTCTTTTCTTTCTCAAGCTATTTCTAACTGCCCATTCAAAGCTTGTCTCAAGAATCATATCAAGAGCTATGACAATTTCTTAAGAACCATGCCAGGTGGGATTGTGGCAGCAAGGCTGGTCAGGTTGACTGTAGACTTCCTCTAGTCAGGTCTTTTATACCGTGGTCTTAACTGTGCCTTTTGAGAGTTGGCAAACCATTGCAACAGGTCTCTAAACTGATATGTCCTGGTTTTACACACAACAGAAAAAAACATTGTAGGTTTGAACCCAAATGGCAAGTGGGATGAAAGGAGGATGTGACTTTTGGGAGGCTATGTTGTGATGAATGAATCCCTTTGACCATTTCTGAATTGCATAGTCTTGGGACTCTACTTTCTCACTGCACAAAAGTGAGGAAGTTAACTCCAGTTCATAGAGGGTTGCAGTTTGGCTTTTCTTTTACCTTAACACTCGCAAAATGTAAAACCTCTGAATATTTATGCATGTGGAGACGCATGATGTATTTCTGGGTCCTCTACGTGCTATGGTGATCTGCATTCTTCTCTGGGTAAAAGAGTTGATACATAGCATGTGCGTGCATGGAGTCGTTTCTTAATTTAGCAGCTCATATAGAAATTCTGTCCAATTCTTTCATCCTTCCTCTTCTCACTGTGTCTGTGTGGCAAACACCCCAGCGTTCCTGTGGTTTTTGAAGTGTATTTGCATGGCACTTTATAATGAGAGATTACATTGTTTTTAGTTGTTTAAAAGAGATCACAATAATGTTTTTTTTTCCTTCTTTCTCTTTTTTGTGGTGGTGGTAATAGTTTTAGTCATTTTTGGATCAGCTGCCATGCAAAAGGAAGAAATGTATCTAAGAGAGACGTATGTAATTGTGACAAATTGTCAGAAGGCTCTAGATGTGGTGTAGTACCTTGTTTTTCTACAAATTCCTCCCTCCAAAAGTGGGAGAGGTCTATATTTTGATTTCTGTCTCTGTGTGCATGTCTTCTGAGGTGTAAACACAGATTGCAGAGGAGGGAAGTAAAAGATTTTTCATTAGCAAGTCCAAAAGATTTCAAACATGTCTACAATCTTAATAGCAGTGCTTTTACTATTCTTGACTTAGGAAAAACAAACAGGAAATGCCTTATAAGACTTATTTTTCACGAAGTTTTTGAAAACTGTTTACATATTTCACAGTGCAATATTAATCAACAAAGCCTTTCAGTACATACTTAACTGGAGAAGTGTCCGTGTTTCTGTGGCTCACGTGCTTCATCCTCATTTTGTACAACAGTGATAAACTGGCAGGATACATTACCCACCTCTTCTGACTCTTTTAAGCTGATGCAGTCCCATCTGCAGTAATGTAAAATGACATAACGGAGGGAAGAAGCAAAATACAGATCTGTGACCTTAAATACATGCAAAAAGCCTTCACCAGAGCCTGACAGTGACACAGGACCTCTAGGGTGATTACACAGATGTACAAGAAATGCTTTTTTTTCTGCATGGCTAGCAATTATGCAGGGTCCCTACTATAGGTGGAGGAAGGGAACAGATCAAGAATTTGGACAGAGCAACCAGCAGGAAGAAGAAGTGGGATGTTTTGTGGTTGCCTACAGCTGCCAAGGAGCTGAAGAGGAGCTTTATACAGGGGAGCAAAGGGAGGAAGAATGATTGCAGCACAGACGTTTATAGAAAGATGAGAGAGGATGATTTGAAGGAACCCTTGTATTTGAAAAAAAGAATGGGGACACTTGGGACTAACAGGAGGTTTCGAGCAGGGGAACGACAGGGAGGTCTTCACAGATAAGAGGAGGCAAGGTGGCCCACAAAAAAAACTTACAAGAGAAAGAGGTAAGAACTCTTGATACCTCTAGTGAATTCAGCCAGTTGAAATACAGAACTCTGAAGTTTCTACGCCCTTTCTTCTACAAATACTGCTCCCAGTTTATAGACCTGGACCATGCAAGCCAGTATTTCTGTTAATAACTCAGGCCTCTAAGGATTTGGCTACTTTTCTTTAGTAATTAGTGAAGACAGTAGGAGATGAGGAGAGAGTGTTTGTACCACCCAGACTTAATCTCCCAGGCATCTCTCTGAAGCTGATTAAGAGTGATAGATTCTCCTCCAGAAGGTAGTTCAAAGTATCTGTATTAATTATTTTATGCATTTGTGAACAGTTAAATCAAGGTTGTTATGCAAAACTATCCTTGCATTGATTGTGGTTAGGGATGCTGCTATAGTAGAGCAGAGCCCTGAGATGTTATATGCAGGAAAGTGGAAACTTTGGCAAACAAGGACTAATATGAAAAGCCTAGATTTAGTATATTCTCTTTACACACATTTTTTGGTCAGCATTTGGCTCAATATATGAGCCCTTGAGGAAGGTGAAACAGAAGGTTAAAAGTAAATCAGTACTAATAATTTTGGTTTAATGCCACTTGGAATCTGTCAGGAGCAGCAGCAGTATAGAAAGCAGCATTTGTTCAAGGTTAATTTTTCTCTGAAACATTTCTGTGAACTATGGTAAAAACAGATGGAATTTAAAAATACAAAGAAAAAGGAAATGACAAAAGGAGAAAGCATTGTATTGTATTGAAAAATAATTATTTTTACGTTTGACCACTTGGAATGGATTTCAAAAGCACCAAGTCAAAAGCAATCTATTTGTACTTTTTTCAATTCCATATATAATTTCCATTCCATCTTCCTTTTCAGGGAAGACATTTTCATCTGTAGAACAATTACATACTTAATGCACTTAATATTAAGAATAATAATAATGCAGAATTTTAGAAAATGTTAGTATGGGAAGAAGTCACAAGTGTCAGGTCTGTTTGCTGATGATTTTAGGCAATCTTTCTTTGAACGTGGAAGCATAATACAATTGAAATTATTTGGGAGAGAAGGTGACTTCACAAGGGATGCTGTATTGCTCGTGGGTGGACATGCAGAATTCAGTCGTCCTCTTACTTTGCTTCAGACTTTAATCCTTCAATACTCTCCTTGCAACTTGAGCCATATGCAACAGAAAACAAAATCTGCTCCTTCCTTAGTGTCAGAGTTGTACTCTACTTTGATGTGTATACGTATGTGTGTATACATTGTCACTGTATTCAAATTTTTTAGGGCAGAAGCATATTCACAGGTGAATTTTGAGTCAAATCAGATACTCTTTATTAAGCTTGTTTGTCCCCAGGAGCCTTCAGAATGCAGTATTTCTGTTTATTTACATTTTCAAAATGTAACTAATAATTTTGAGACAGTAGCAGTTTTTTGCTGTCCTAACTTCACACAACTTAATTACAAATTGAGAACAACTTTAAAACAGTTAGAAAACTTAGACTAAATAAGCTATTTTGAAATCCTAAATTTAAATTTACTGTGGTGATCAAAGATTATTTCTTACATGTTTTACACTGGAGTTTTAATACTTCAGATTTTCTCCAGTTTTACAGTTGTCCAGCAGTACAACAGCAAAGTTTTTCCCACTGCATTTTTTTAAAAGAACCTTTTTCCGTGCAGTAAGAACTCATTTGGTATTTCTTGAGAATAACATATCTGAGAGACAGCATTAAATTCAACATTAAAGTAATTTTTATCATTAAATTATTTTGAGGTGTGGAAGTTTGGATAGTCTGGTGAGACTAAGTTACTTAATCTCTTATTATTGCTGTGGGTTGATAGATACAAAGGAAACGTAACATCAAGTATAGAGATGTTTCTTACAGCTTATTATTTAATGTGGTCTGTCTGAATAATAGAGGCTTTTGAAGTAGTTTCAGTGCATTTAACATGCAGGGCTATTCTTCCTATTTCATAGAATAATAGAACGGTTTGGGTTGGAAGGGACCTTAAAGATCATCCAGTTCCAACCCCCCTGCCATGAGCAGGGACACCTTCTGCCAGACCAGGTTTCTCAAAGCCCCGTCCAGCCTGGCCTTGAACACTGCCAGGGATGGGGCAGCCACAGCTTCTCTGGGCAACCTGTGCTGGTGTCTCAGCACCCTCACAGTAGAGAATTTCTCTCTCGGTACCTTGCCGGAGTAAAATCTAACAAGTTTAGAATTGTGCTCAGGTGAATTGCCACTGTTCAGAGAAATTTCTGTGAAAACAGACCCATAACACATGAAAAATATGGTACCTTTTATTACTGCTTTTACCCAAAGAGTAGTTAACATGAGATGTAACAGAGCTACTTGAAATAAAACCCAAACACCACAATTAGATTTCAGCAAGACATTGAAAGGACACACTACTTTTTTGAAAAGTCACAGGTATATATGTCTTTCTTGTACATTGCACAATTTTCTTAGGACTTTTTATATGGACAAAGCAAGGGCATATACTTTTTTTGCAAGGCTGGAGTCTAAAGCTGTGGTTGAACTGAAGAAAATGGAGCAGTAGGTCAAGACATTCTTCTGACTTTTGGAAAAGTAGCAACAGAAAAAAAAAGGCATATGAGGCCAAGGGTTAATTAAAAGATTCTTTCTGTATCTACAAGTTGATCTGTGAAGAAGTTGAATGAATTCCCATGCCATTGTGTATTCACACCAAATAATTTTTTTACTGCTTACTACTGGAAGTTGTGGGTTTTATATATTGTTTTGCCAAAAGCCTCACACCCAAAAGCACTCACACCCAAGAGATATGTACTTCTGCTTGGAATAAAGCCAGCTTGGCTACCATCTCTTAAACCCTCTTGCCTTTACTTGTACGGTAGCTTTGCGCCTGATGTTGCCTTGATGGGCTGCTCGCGGCTTTCGGTAGGACCAGGCAAAGCTAAAAGCGTGGGCGCCCTCTGCTGGCTGCTGGCTTTGCTCCGGGCCCTCCTCCAAGGCTCTGCTCCACACGATGCATTCGGGAAGACGCGAGTTGTAGCTTATTTTAAACGATTACACTTTCAGGAAAGAAAAAAAAGTGGATATTAAAATAGATTTAATATAGCTTTTAAAATACAACAGCAATGTAAGACTTGCGTTTGAAATGCCCAGATGCTCTGAAATAATAGTTTTATAGTGAAACAGCATTGGGTAAACCAAGAAAGAAAATAGTGGGCAGAAACTAGTTTTTACTTTCTGTGATTTCAAGTACTAAAAGAGCTGGGGAATAGGGAAGTAAGGGTGCAGTCTCCCCAATCCTAGCTTCTGTGTAAAACTCAACAGAGAACCAGTATTTCGTCTCTCATTCTTTCCAGCTGCCCCCAGACTCCAGGGCATGATTTTTGCAAGGTGCTTTGATTTTTTTTTCATATCTCAACTGGATTAGGCCTTGAGCAACCTGACCTGAAGTTGGTCCTTGAGCTGAAGCTTGTAGCTGGTAACCTCGCTAAGTCCTCCCATCATACATTGTTCTGTGTTTCTGTCCTAAATGTGAAAGTTTAAATATTTGGAAAAGATTTTGTATAATATAGCCTTTAATCCCTTGTTTATCTTGACAGGCCTTTTATATTCCAAGGTAGACAGTGACATTCTACCAGTGTAGAGAGGAGCCTGGGTCCATTTTCTACACTGTCACCCTTTGTATGCCAGCAGGCCTTTTCAAGAGGAGAGGTGTAATACAGGTGCACCATACAAGACTGCAGATTAGGGAGCTCCTCAGCATTAAAGAAAATGACTGCATGTCCCCTGTGCCAACTAATAGCTATTAAAAAAGCTGTGGAAAACCACATACAGTTCATTTCAAGAGGAATCCTGGACACCATCTCTCAGACTGAAGGCTCAGGTGATAGTCTGTGACATGCCTGTACCATGAGGGAAGAGCTGTATGAAAGTAAGGGAATGCTTTTAACACCCTGTCTGGGTTGTGATCAGCATTTACCCCAGAGCTGTTTGACACAACCATTCACTGCATGGGGGAGAGAATGGATGAATGTGAACTATCCATCCTTCTCCAAAGAACTGAATAGTAATACACAGATTAGATGAAAGAGAAGCTTACAGTGCCGGAAGAAAAAGGGAAACACAATATTCACAAGAGAGGCTTTTTAGAAGCTGGTTCAGAGTAGAAGCCATAATCTAGGTATTCTTGATTTCCTTCCCACAGTACAGCTTTTTTCGTTCTATCAACAATGAAAACAGATTAGCAAGTTTGGTCATGAAGACTAAACTTAGCCTTTGAGAATACTTCCTTTCCTTCCCTTCCCTCACTCCTGTACCCATATTTTCTCAGTTTTCTAGGCCATGGATGGATATGGAGGTTCTTTTTTTATATGATGAGTCTGAATTCTACGTGAAAAAATGGTGAGTTCAACTTGCCACAACAGATTCCCATCATCCTGCCATGAACATGCCAGATGAAGGTTTGTTTGGGCCTGTGTTGTGATTTCAGTTAAGGGTAACTGTCAAAAAAAAATAAATACTATGTTTTTTCTGCTAATCTTCAGGAAAACTGCCTTTACAAACATTATATCAGAATTATTATGAGGCATATTTTAAGATGGGCTTTTTGCCCCATATACAAAAGACAATTCTGAAGGAACAGCCTGATATTTTTAAGAAACAGGGTGACCGAATCAGTCACATGTTAGCAGTGATGAACCCAGGTACAGTGTAAGTAGGTATGAGGAGGAAGGTTACAAAACATCCTGGTAGTTTCGTCTCTGATGGTAGTCCTGGTGAGGACACTGTATCCCAAATTAGTACTCCCAGGTCACAATACCCTTGATTTACTAGGCAGTTTTCAAGAAATAGAAAAAAATCTTAATCAGAAGCTACAGAAATAACCTGGAGAAGTCTCGTGATTCTTTTTACAAGCTGTGACTCTATTTTACCCAGAGGAACAGGCATTGAAAATGTCATTGGCAAAACTGGCTTTGAAGTCGGTGTAGGTTTTGCAGGTTGTTTTGTTCAGTGGTACTTGCTGAAAAAGCTGAACCTACTAAGTATTCCAAGGGATTAATGCCAGTATGGCATCAGGAGCACAGTAATGCATGTGCTCCTGACTGTGCCTATCTTCTAGAAGAGTGAAGGAAGGTGTGTAGATAATAGTGCCATTCTTTCCAGATGCTGTTGTAATACCTGTCACAATAGTTCTTAGGTTTGCTTTGCAGCATGATGTATATTTACTTAAAATAGTTTTAGTTATTGTATATTATCTGTAACTTTTTTATCCTTTTGATACTTAAATGGGCATGGTAGTAGTAGTACCCAGAGAAAGGACAATATTCCTTCAGGTTTGTGAACCATCTGCAGCTTCAGCTGTCACCCAGACATTGCCAAGACAACAGAATGCAGATACAGTTATATTTTGTATGATACATATATAGATTTTTAGAAGTCACTGCTTTTATGTGGTAACTTTAGAAAAGCTCCATATAAATAGCATTTAACAGATAGCTGTGCACAATTCACTTACATTCAACCCACTGAGGCACTGCTAGTAGGCACAATTTACCACTTTAAACTCTATGCAAGCAAATGAATGGAGCAAAAAACCTGCTTTGGAAGCATCCTCACATTAGGAACTTCCCTTTCTCTTATACTTGGCTTTGAGACATGACAGACATTATTGGGATATGAGGGGTGAGGTTTCAAGACTTGCTTTTTAATGCCACAAAAAAAATATTATTAATTGAGCTCGGATACAGTTATGAGCAGTGCAGAGGTCAGCTCACTTTGAGCCAAATACAAGTTCCTGTACTCATTCCCTTCCACAGTTATCTCTATAGCTATAGGGGCAAATCTTTCAGTTCATACTGTTTTGCTACTTTTAATTTAAGTAAGTGGGAATTTTGTCTCAAAATGGCTATACCATGACACAGAACAGGGGTGTTTACGTGCCTCTGTATATCTATATTGATATACCTGAGCTGGCTTTGAGACAGCAGATACACCTCTCAGGACAATACAATGCTGGTTTAGCTAAAGTTGTGTGAATAGCCAAGTGGCTGCGTTAAATAGTACTGCACAGTACCTGCACTTGAATATTCAAAGCCATTGCTTGAAAGAAGTTGTTTTCTGAAACCAAAAAAAGGGCAATTAGATTTATTTGGCTTTTTATTTTATAGCACATTTTCAGTATACTAGAGAACAGATTATGCTGTTGATACGAATGCTTGGATTTTTAAGATTTGATGTAAAAATATGAGTATGATTACCCTACTCTCAGTTCTATCTGAGTTTTAGCTTATTTGATCCTATCACAAAATGCAAGAGAAAAAGGCTTCCATATGTTGCCTAATCCTGGGAGAATCATGCACTGTTCATTAAAATACAGTGTATATTTTATGAAATCTATTTTTTCCTAACTTCATTTTATATTAGGTGCATCTGCTTTACAAGCATACATTCTTTTAAAATAATTTGTTCTGCATGTTACATTTGCTGTAATAATAACATGGGAGAACGTTTGCTGAAATGTACTGAATTCCAGCCTGTAGCTTGTGCCTTTACAGTCATCAAGTAGGTGTTCCAATTTATGAATAATAGGCCTTATGCAAGCAGGCGGGTGAGCCGACACCACTGGCTTGCCTCAGTAACTTCAAAGGGAAACATATTTTTTTTCCAGAAGAGACAGAAAGATCACATTTGGAGGTTGAAAGGGTGCACTGCACCCTTTAGCCAAGATAAGGAGATCAGCCAGCGTCTGAGAGCTCTCTTCATCAAATTATTTAAATAGGAATACAAAGAAAATGTTCTGTAAGTTTTAAGTAGCATGGATAAGGTTACTTATAAGCTTATACTTAAAGTGGCCTTATTATTGTTTCCAGATGTAAATTTTGAAACGCAGAAAGGGCAGTTAGCATTTAGGCCCATTTAAAGCAGTATAATTCAGAACTCATTCAGCCTCATATACTCTCCCTTGGATGAGAAAGGGAAGACAGGAATGAGAACCTAATGCAGCTGAAGGCACTAAACATGGATGGAGCCTTAATGTGGAGCTTGGGTAGGATGTGTTACTTGAGAAGCAGCATCTGGTCACATACGTGCACTAGCACAAATAACTGGCAGTTTTTTTCTATGTCCAAAAAGAAATTGGAAAAAAAGAAAATTATCTCAATCTTACTTTTTTTTTTATTATTTTTTCCTTGCAGCATCAGAACTAGCATACGAATAGCCGTTTTCAAAGGAGGCAAATGCACATACAGCTTCCCATTTCCCACTGAAATTCAGAGCCTACTCCTCACCTTGTAGGCAACTCTGAGGACAATTACTGTGAAGAAATTGAAGGTGCCCACTAAAAATGATACATTTTTTCTCCTGTTGTTTGCTTCCACTGTGTGCTGAGTTTTGCCAGTTTACCGTGCTGACTCTAGGGATGAGCGTCTTCTCTAGATGGCAGTTCTCATGTAATCCAGCAGGCCACCAGGCTTATGGTCTATAGTTATGGACTCCTTTAAGGCTCATGAAGGTGCTCAGGCACAGGGTTAGGAATCCTGAAGCATAAAATCAAGAAAGGAAGCCAGCGCAGGCCCAAATACAGACTGATGCACAAGCAGGCGGGCCTTAGTAAGCAGCCTGTGGTCTGTCCTTTATGTGTGAGGAGCAGGCAGGCAGGCAGGAGATGGAGCACATGGTGCTTACAGGTCTTCCAAAGCTGGCATAGCTCTTGCCGATATATTTTAGCTGCTTTTCTCTTGCTAGAGAGCCAACAAATTTAATGAGAGTGATTTGGTTTGTTGTCAGTCTTGCACAATAATATTTCTAATAGAGCTCAAGCTGCAAATCGTTTTTTACTGGTGATGCTGATGAGTAGGAACTTGAGAAAACCTATCTTGACTTTTACATTTCAGGCCTAGTTTGGAGGGCTGGCATTTACAAAAGGAAGCACAAGCATATTTTAATTTATAAATGGAATAAAATTAATACAACATCTATGAGGTCACAGGGAAATAAAAACACTGAAAGACCACAGTTTTACAGAGGCATATTTTAAAACATAACTGCATAGTAAGATAGGTTTTATTCTGCGCATTCACTCAGCACACTGACTGTTTTTATCTTTCTCACTATAGAATCCATAGGACCCAATTCTATGACCCACAACTGCTGTAGTTTTCAAGGGGGTGCCACATGTGAAACTGAGTAACTGAAATTTTGGAACCTTTGTAAAAAGATTTATATTGAAGCATTCCAGCTTTTAAAGTTTGTCCCTTGTTTCTGCACGTAAATTTCTGTGAAGGCAGATTTAGTCTGTAAATGGATGCAGCCAAATGTGTAGGCGATGCATATACATTACTTTACCAAAATAAAATTTTCATGAGTAGAATTTATTTTGGCTTTTCTTAATCCTGACTGTGTTGCCATTTCAAAAATATGTAACCAAAAACACAAACTGCACTTTACATGAGACCCTCAGGAAGTGCAATAATACACCACAGGAGAAGA